AACCTTTGTTGGAAAAGTACTGCGGTGTGAAAGCGCCTATTGACTGTTACCATTTTGATCAGAAGTTTTTTTTTAAATCAGAATATTCATTAAAACCATCACATATGGTTTTTAAGCGTTAGTCAGAACTCTTTCATCCAAATGTAGCACCTAATCCACCCTGTCACTTATTAATTAGCTTCATCGGCTGGACAGTTCAGTGCAGTTTAGGGCCGTGTAATAATAACAACACATGGTGTTTTATATAGCGCTTCTCCTGGTGCTCAAAGACGGTTAGTGACAATGATGCTGAACACAATCTGTGGACAACGGTCCCTGGAGCGCCATGATGGTTCACTACCAGCTTCAACAATTATTTGCTATTGACCTCTTGATCATGCTAGCTCCTCAAGTAAGAAATGAATAGTTGTGTTGTTTTGAAATATGTGTGTCAGAGGGAACAGCATCCATCAGGGCCGTGCATCACACTAAGGTTTATGTAGCTGACTGTGTACTGTTTTCTCCGGCAGAATGACGTGGTTGTGTCTTGGCGTCCCTCGTCTGAGTTCCCTGGGAATGTGTGAGAAAGCTCAAATTCTCTTTTTCTTTCTCAGTCTCTATTTTGGTTGATCATGTCAAAATGGGAAAAATAAAATTGTGAAAATGGCTGTGTTGAGGTTCTCAATTTCGTGGTGTAAAAGTGATATAACTGTGTTTTTCCCATACAAGCAAATTACAAACCTAAAAATATAGAATAAAATACAGGCCTCATTCTCTTCTTAAACAACATGATTACATTTGAACATATCATGATAACGTTCTAATTTACCTTTACCCTGTACTGATATTCACTGAATAGAGCTTTGACACATTCTATTATATATCAATCGAACCCAGCTCTGTTAGCTTTAGCTCTACCTGTTTTTTCTTCAGTACAGTAGGTGCCAAAAGACTAATGCTGTCTCATTGTCCTGGGGACAAAAAAAAAACGTCATCACTGTACAACAGCAGGGTAAAAAAACACGTCATCACTGTACAACAGGTGTGTGTGTGTGTGTGTGTGTGTGTGTGTGTGTGTGTGTGTGTGTGTGTGTGTGTGTGTGTGTGTGTGTGTGTGTGTCTCACATACCCTGCTGTTGTACAGTGATGACGTGTTTTTTTAGGCCAAACCCAGCAGTCAGCGTCGCCATGGCTGCCTAAAAAAAAAGCAATGGGACTTTCCCATTTGAGTTCGGGATATTGCAGATAATACGTTTTTGTTGGTAGCTACTCACACCATTTGTTCAGCAGGATAATCTCCACATATTAACACCATTTTGTGATTTTTGTAGCATTAATGCAATCACCAGAAGTAAAAAGCTAACGTTAAGGCGGCTATAAACGAACTACATCACGGTACATGTGGTCATATCACCAGCGCTAAGCTAAAGGTGGCTAATGTTCGACATGTGACGTTTAGTAATCTCTCTTATGGCGCATTTCCAATACCGCGCGTAGCACGGTCTAAGCGTGCCGTCCCAAACCCGGCCTGTTTTTTTGTTGCGTTTCCACTACGGGTGGTTCCGGCTAACGGGTATTCTTTCACAGTTTTTCTGGCCCTCCAAAATCCAGGTTCTTTCCGGGCCAACAACCGGGCTGAATATGCTAAACTAGAGAGAGAATCGCTGGCAAGGGGGCTACAACTACAACAACATGAACATATTTGACCGTGATTTAATTGTAATACATGTTTCAAAATGATGCCGAAGTAACAACATACTGATACCGGTTAGTAAAAACCATGAATGAATGCTTTGACAAGTCTGCAGACAGACGGCAGGCGAAAAACCTTTTAAAATGCGTGTTTTCTGAATGGAGATCGGTTAAGCTAACGCAGTTTATGCTCCGACCGCCCACACTCACAACAACGGTCTATACAGACATAAATAAACCAGCGACTGTATTCTCCATGACACAGACAGTCTGTGGTTTGTACTTGTTTCACTTTTGTCTAGTTTCTGAACAGATATGAGGAGCTGTGAGCACACAGGGGATAGGAAGTGCTAACAGCTAACGGCTGATGTTGGTTTTCTGTGGTTCGCATTGAAGATGACGTCACGGCTCCGCCTACACTGCGTTACTAGAGTTACTGCCCCAGCTACTAAACTGTAATGGAAACGCAGCATAAAGTGAGCCTGGCCTACCAAAGCCTAACTATATCTTACTAAGCCGTGCGAGGCCCTGCAGTGGAAATGCGCCATTAGAGACTTGTTAGCAACCACTGTTTTTATGGCACATAGAACCTTCAGACATTGAACAGTGGATTATTTACTAACATATTTTGTTTTGTAGAACATTTTCAAAAATCAATTCTAGACGAGGGAACAGAAAGTGATCAAATGTTAACGAATTTTCGAGTTTTAGGACTCAATCCACTCTATCTGGAGGCCACTGAGTAAGCTGTTGTTGCCATGTTAAATGCCAAACCCTGCTCGATATACCTGTGGATGTATTTAGTTAAAAGTCAACCATGTTTTAGTTCTTTCAAGGCTTGGTGGTGTAGAATTGAATAAACGACTGTTTCTCTGTGGGCCTGTCCAGTAATGTATGAATGTAATTAACAGCAGTCATGCCTTTAATAATGTGATCTCCTGACTGTGTTGTGTCCTTCCTGCAGTTACAAGGGGGAGGGGGTTATCAGTGGCAGTCCGGAGAAAGTGTGGGAGTGTCTGAAGCCCGTACCCAATGGCATGAGAGTCAAATGGGACAACAATGTCAAAAGGTTTGAGCTTGTGGAACAAATCACAGAGGTGTGTTACTACTTTCCCTCTTCTGATTACAGTTATTATTCATGATCAATATGTATGAGTTAACCCAGATTTTTTGATTTCCCATCAAAGAGGGAATATTTTAAAGCTTGACTAGATATCTTAAAGGTCCCTTGTTATACTGCTCTTGGAGGAGATTCAGTGGATAGGGTGGGGGGGTTACCTTGGTTGCTGATTGGCTAATGGTTACCCAAGTCAAAAAATCGTTATGACATCACAAAGTGGCCAAAATCTGACCAGCTCATTTCCAGACAGGTTTTTATATAAATGGATCAGGAGAAAAAGAGAGAACCTTTGTTCCTGAGATTTTCAGAATCTCTTTACACAGAGGGGTCACATGTTGATGTATAAAAGACTTTGAAGATTTTGCATAATAACAATATTGTAATCTTTAATTAGCAGCCAAACTGTTTGAAAACTGTTTTAAATGTTGTCAATAAATTGCAGGTATGCATAGTTTGATATTCCATAAGGTTTTATACCAAAGTACACAAAAGGAAGAAAAGAGGCAACAGATTTGTACAGGATTCAGTGTGTATTTTCATCTAACTGTCACTCATATATTCTTGTTTGCTTTGCGTGTTATCATTTACACTCCACTTTATCTTATCGAGTAGGGAAAATCCCCATCATTTAATAAAAGAAAAGATCCTTGCATGAAGCAGGTTTAGAGTAAAGTGATATTAAGTTAGTTTTACTTTATCTTTGTTTGAACATCTCCTTGTTCCCCACTCAGCACATCTCTATCTGCCGGACGGTCACGCCCTCAGCAGCGATGGGCATCATCGCTCCACGAGACTTTGTCGATGTTATTTTAATCAAGCAATACGAAGACGGCACCATCTCATCGAATGGTGCGTAAAAAAACGTTCTCTTTTCTCCTCCACTTCCTGTGCTGGCGTCCTGTTTAAAGTAATTGTGCCATACAGCAGAGGCTCTTTGAACCTGAGGTAGTGATGTTGAAGAAAGGCTGTCTGAGGTTTAACTATGTTGTGAATACACTACATGTCTCAGGTCTCAACAGAGTAGTGACAAGTTACTTTTTTTATATCTGAGATGACAATTTAATCAAATAAAGTGGCAAGCGAACCCTTTGGAATATCCTGCATTTATGTATACATTTGTTCTGAAATATGTCTGATTTTCATCTGAGTTCCAAAAATCAACAAACACATTTGAGCTCAAATAATCGTTTTGTTATTGTCTATATTGAATCATTTTGCGAACATTCACAGTGTGGGTTGGAAAAAGGTATGTTAACCCCTAGAATTAAACAAAAACGATTTGAGTTAACAAACAAGTTCATGCAGAAAACCAGGAAATTCCAAAGGGTTCCCTTTCTTTTTCCTGCCACTTTATGTTTGATGAATAACGAAGGTTAAGGAGCAGCTTTGTATCCCAGTGGTAACAGCGCTGGGCACATTACAGTCCCTGTCGTGCATTGTTACATTAAGGCTAAAAAGACAAATTGATTATTAAAAGAAAAAGGGGTGAAATGTGTGTCCTGGTTGTGAGGAGGGCTTTCTCCACCATGCCACCTGGGTTTTCTAAAACATCCACCTGTAATCTGTATCATTCTCCTCATGTGTAATGTAAATCTAAACACACAAACGGACACACCACCACATACACACTTTACACACATTACGTCTTTTTTTTATTTAACTGTAAGTGAATACAGTTAAGAGCAGTAGAGGTGGGGAGAGGCAGGGCTATTGCGTCATCATTATCAGGAAATGATCGTATAGGTCATACACACAGAGCCGTTTGGCCCACAAGAGCGTTGCGTCGGCAGATCTACCCACCTTGAGACCCGTTATCGTTATTGCTTCTGCGTTTCCCTGTCGTCCTCGTGTGGCCGAACCGTCTATAATATGATAGAGAACTGTAGCGGATACAACCCGTATCGTCTCCGTGTGGCTGCAGCCTTAGGCCCAATCCCAAACCACTCCCTCGACCCTAACCCTCAGTGACGGAGTGAACTCCGTCTGTAGCCACACTCGCAGCTCAACGAGGCTCCCTCCTGTCAGATGGAGGGAGTAAATACAGCAGCAAGCTTTGGGACGGCCTCCCCTCTCTCCGGCAGAAACAGGAAATGCCGTAACTGTATGTAACAACTTTTTCAAATTAGCATCTCTTAGACAAAAGATGTAAATTAATAACTCAAATAAAACTCCAAACATATTTCATTGTGTTACTTTTTTGTAAAGCTCTTAGTTTTAAACCTGATGTTTATAAGCTTAGTTTTTGCAACAGTCTGTAAACATACACACCTTTTATAATAAAATGCACACATTTACCTTTTTCTAGACCAGGGGTTCCCAAACTTTTTCAGCATGAGACCCAAAACAGAAATGTTGTGGTCCTAAGGGACCCAAGCTCAAAAAATGTCATGATTTTCCATAATATCTAAAGTTATAAACAAAGAATGCAACACACCATGAATTTAAAATGTAAATGAAAATATTTATCTAATTATAAAAGTGCATCGCAGCAATTAGGTTTCTCACCACAACAACCTTCCCTTTGAGCTTGCCCAGAAAAAATAAGGATCAAAGCAGAAAGACGAAACATGGGACGTGCAGTCAAGTATATACATTACGAATCAAATTTTAATTATACAATTATCAAAAGTGCAATATTAAGTTTTTCGCTAGCTCAAAAACTATGTCCACACCATTTTAAACTATTTTAAATGAACAAAGAACAAACATGTTGTAAACAGAAAGGGACAAAACACTAACTATAGGAAGTGCAGTCAAGTGCACACAGTACATCACAGGTGAAACCACATTTAAATTCTCAGAGGTGCAACATTAAGTTTGTCACTAGATCAAAAACTATGTACACACATTTTTTAAACACTTTTAAATGAACAGAGCTGTTGTAAAACACTCTGAGAGATAAAGAAACTCCAACACTTGGCAACTGATTAACTTTTTTTTTGTGGAGGCTGACTTGATAGGATGCCCTCAGTGCCCCTCTGTTCCCTTTGAATGCCTGAAAATAACAGAGAAGATATTATCATTAACATTGCTGGGTTATTGGGTGATTTTTAACACCAGCCGGCGTACGAATGTGGACCTGGCAACCGCATTTATAGCGCATTACATTACAT